GCTTTCTAGAGGTAAGGAAAGCATTAAAATTGTGAGTTACAGCTGTGCATTCACAGGTTTTCTGTTGAGTAATCTGGTTTAGAGCCTTGGGAAATATTTTGTGCGTGCGTTTTAGAATTCTGAGGCGGTGGCAACTTCTGTTGTGACTTGGGCAGGGCTTGATCTCCAGCCTCCCTCACTCCAGTTGGGCGATGGTCGTTCCTCCCGTGGTATGTTTGCTTTGCCCCTCGCTCACATGCTCTGCCCTCTTGTGCCTCTTCTGGTCTTTGTGTGAATTGTTCTCCTGGAGATAAAGAGAGACTCGTTCTTTTGCCGTGGGATTTCTGAGAGTTGTTCAGCGAAGGCTGGAAATTCTGTTGTTTTTATTGCCTGTGACTGTCCTTCCTCCTTTCAGGAAATCGGAAGAGCCGTTGGCATAGCGCTCATGAAGCAGTGTGGGTGGCGTGCTGATCTGCGGGACCCTGACCTAGAGGTAGTGGGCTTATCTGCCAGATGGCCTGTTGGTGCTTCTGGAACTGCCCATGGCATCTTTTGTTTTGTTCTCTGCTCCCTTCCCGTGGGTGACTGTGGCCTCTTCTCTGTCAGCAGCTTGCTTAGCACACCCTCAGCGGTGCAGGCTCCTGAAGACCTTGGAAAGGATTTCCTGACAAGCTGTTTCTCCATCCCTGTGTCTGGCCTGTGGAAGCTGCTCTCAGCACTAGTGCTGGGAGATCTGAGACCCTCTGTAAACACTCTTTGAGTTCATCTGCTGGGGCTGATTTTCATAGGCTGAGCATTATGTTCAGCTTTGTTGAGGCTTAGATAGGGCTCCAGTTCTTGCCCAGATTTTGTTCATTCAAGTGCTGAGGACTAGAATCATATTTTCCTCTGGACTTCCTGGGGGCAGGGATTGTAGTCATGCAAGACTTGTTGGGGAGCTCAGTCTTCTTTTGGGATACTCCTTGTGTGGCAGCAGAAGAATTTCTTTGAGCTGTCTGTTTCTGGAAGGATTACTCAGGTTTACCTTCCATCTGCAATGTTGCTTACTGGCTCCACTGTGGGTGTTGGGGTTTTTTTCCTGTGTTTGTTTTTTAATATGTATTTATTTAAATGAGGGGGGTATGTGAATTGTTGAGTATACAGTGAATAATATTCTCCCACTTAAGGTAAATGGATTTATTATTACAAATTTCCATGCTGTGTTACAAAAAAAATGTGTTGCCTTATAAATTCAAGTGCTTGCTGATGGATTCCTGGCTGACAAAATCCCCTTTCAGCTTGCTTAAGCATTAAATCCTCTTTAAAGTGGCATTCGGATTATCTGGTGGAATTTCTTCCAATTAATCATAATTGCCTCATGCATGCATTTTTGTTCTTAAAAACTAGGATTGGAAGTTTGTAGAAACATCTGTATCTGGTTTAAACGAGTTAAAGCTGTTGTTATGTCAGGTTGAGAGTTTAAAATGTTTTTGGTTTACCTTTTTTTTTTTTTTTTCTCTTTTAGATCTTTGTACATCTTAATGACATTCACTCTGTGGTGGGGATTCCTCTTTTCAGGTAGGCATTTTCTTCTCAACAGATTTGTCTTGGCAGTATCAGAACAGGCAGGATTTGTAAACAGTCTTGCTGTCCACTGTGTCCATCTTCTGGTTTGATATTCACTGGATTGTCACGTTAGTCTTTTGATCTGCCTGGAGCCTGTGTGAGGACACAGGCCAGACTCTGCAGTGAGTTATTGTTTAAAGCAGACTCTGGTTTCAGTCTCTCTGCAGATCTTTCCAGTCCATTTGTTCTTTGATATTACATGGGCTTTTCTGGGTGGTTCTACCGTTACCTTACATAGAATTTTTTTTTTTTTTTTCTCTTTTCCTGTTTGCAGGTTTCCATTGGCAAACAGAGAGTATATCAAAACAGCGGGACTGCGGTCAACAGTCGCGTGGGCCATGGCATCTCTGGCTGAAATCCGCGTCAGTGAATGTTCCTAGCAGAGATACGGAATCCTGAATGAGGGAAAAGGGGGTTGCTGCTCATCAGGGCTGGAGCTGGAGGCTTTGTAGGAGCGTGGGGTTTTTAATGCCTTATCCTCTAATGCATGAGGACTGGGTTTGCCTTACCTGTGGTCGGTGTGCTGTCACCTGCTGTCTAGCAAGGTGTCTGCTGTAATTCCAGGTCCTTCTCAGCAGAGCTGTTGTTCCTTGTACAGACACATGTCTAAGTGGCAAGATCTTTTTCACTGTACGGACTTCAGACATTGTTTATAGTTGTTTCTCAAGGGAAAACAGGAGCAAATGTGATTTCTTTCCACAGATTAATTTGGTACCAATGTCTGTCTGTGGACAACTTATAATGTTTCCCCCTGAATGTCACCTCAGGGCTGGATGCCTTGAAACACGTGTCTGAAGTGAAGCTAGTGATGCTCTTTATTATATTCTCTTGCAAGTGAGTTTGGCCTGGCAAACCAGCGATTATTATTACCTGTGCTGGATTCAGTGGGAATATATACATCCCTGAGTAACCTTTGTCCTGAGGGAGGAGTCTGTCTTGCTTGGGATGCAATAACCCCTTTGTTTTTGTAGGCTGGTGCCTTTGTGCTGGATCCCATGTGTGGGCTGGGAACGATACTGCTGGAGGCTGCCAGAGAGTGGCCTGTAAGTATCCTG